TAAAATACTTAATTCATAACCAGTCTGAAATAACAGAATTTAATTAATGATTGAAGTAAATTACTTAATTAGATTCAAATAAATAATTTCCCCATAATTTGGAACTTTTTAAATTTACTTTCTCAACGACATAAAATATTATTTTAGTACAAAGCGTTTTTGATGAATTTATCAAAATGTGCAAACTGATTTAAGTATTTGGTCGGGAAAAAAACCCATTGAAAATACAACCCGATTAATTTGTCAATGCCTATCTCTCCCCCCCCCCCCCCACACACACACACACACTCTCCCTCTCTCTCACTGTCACATTTTTTAAAAAAACATAGTTTAGTTTATTATGATAGTTTGAAATTTGTTCTTGTACTAAACAGTTTTATTTTCTACATTCACATTGGGTTTGCGTCACCCATTATCATATTTATAGATATCACCTCTCGGCACACCTCGGCCAATTCATACTGGCAAAGGAATCAGCAAAGGTTTGTCGAATGAGATTATTTAGCACATGTATGCTGACGATGCAGTGTGGTCAGTTAAAATCATTTGTGTTTTAATTGGATTATATGGATTATATTTCATGAATTCGTTGTCACGACCTATGACATTCGGTAAGTACAAGATTTAGCATAGATTGCATAAAAATAAATAAATGCAAATGGTTAGGTTGAAGTTCAAAAAGGGTCAACATGGTCAAAGATCATCGCATGCCACAGTCGACAAATTTCACATTGTCAAGTTATCTCCCGTTGCGGACATTCAGTATATAACAGACGCAGATCCAGAATTTTTTTTTTTTCAGAAAGGGGGGGGGGTGTCACACCTCAGTCAAAAAAATCAGCCCAAGATTTCCTGAGATGGAAATAAAAAATAATAATAAAAACAATGATGGTGGAGTCCCTGTTTTCTAAGGGGGAGGATGTCCAAAGTCATTTTTATTCTCTACAGTACATATATAGTCTTATTTAAATAACTGCTAATTCCAGGGGGGGGGGGGGGGCTGATCTCCAAGCCACTGACTCCCTGTACCTGAAATGACAATTGATCTTATGACTCCATAATAGTAGAAAATTTTTTCAATTGACTATTTATACATATTTTGTTTCCTATGTTTATGTATTTTTGTCTGTCCACGGAAACTTTAACCTTGCCCATATTTTTTAAGTGGATTGGGCTATACACATGGCTTGAATATTTCATAGGTAAATTTCTTTTGGCAAAACCTTTTAATGGGTACCACCAATTTTGACCTCTTGATCTCTTGACCTTGGATTTTGACCCAATTTTACAAGAAAAATACCTTGAACTTGGCGTAAGTTTTGAACAGGTGGTGCTAGGACTTTCATGCTCTTACATGTGTAATCATTGTGAACTTTCAACAGGTATAATTATTTTTGACCTAGACCTTAGAGTTGAATCCAATTTAACTTTAACCTTGGCAATAACTTTTGAACAGGTGAGGAAGTTCTAGGGATTTCTCTCTTTTTTCACATGTGTATTCCTTGTGACAAGACTTTCCCTTTGATACCAACAATTTAGACCCTTTGACCTTGACCTTGGAGTTTGACTTACATTTGAGAAACTTCAACCTTTGCCAAAAGCTGCCATAACAGTTGCTGTCACAACAAACAAACAAATTACTAAAAAAAAACACAGAATACATGTACATATTTTATATTCAACAGATATACATCTGGTCATATCTCTAGTTCTCCCTTGAATGAGACATGGTGATATAAATTTTAAGAAATAATTATAAGAGTTGAAAAGGTTGTGCATATTGAAATATACTAAGCTCTGCGGATGAATTAGATATACCAGTTTAGCTTTATTTTGCTACCCAAAGCACCTTGATTAACTATTTATAAGCATACTGTTTTCTGAAATGTACTGATTTCTGTTGTCCATCTGTTTATCTGCAAACTTTTCACATTAACTTCTTAAGAACCACTAGGCTAATTTCAACCAATTTACATTTAAATATGCAGGGTACTTTTTAAGCGCCCGGATCGATAGATCCCGGGCGTATATTGTTTTTGTCCTGTCTGTTTGTCTGTTTGTCAACTTTAACCTTGGCCATAACTTTTGAACAATAAGGGATAGAGACTTCATATTTGGTAAGCATACTCCACTAATAAAAACCTTTCAAATGACTTCAAGGTCAATGACCTTGTGACCTTGACTAAGACTTATATGCTAAAAATAGCTTTTTCCACTGTTTGTCATAACTTTTGAACCATAGGAGATAGGGACTTCATATTTGGTATGCATACTCCACTAATAGAGTCCTTTCAAATGACATCAAGGTCAATGATCTTGTGACCTTGACTGTGACCTATATGCTAAAAATAGCTTTTTACACTTTTTGCCATAACTTTTGAACCATCAGAGATAAGGACTTCATATTTGGTATGCATACTCCACCGATTAAGTTCTTTCAAATGACACCATGGTCAATGACTTTGTGACCTTGACTGTGACCTATATTCTAAAAATAGCTTTTTCCACTTTGTCATAACTTTTGAACCATAGGAGATAGGGACTTCATATTTGGTATGCATACTCCACCGATAAAGTCCTTTCAAACGACGGCAAGGTCAATGATCTTGTGACCTTGACTGTGACGGATATGCTAAAAATAGCTCTTTACACTTTTTGCCACAACTTTTGAACCATGGGAGATAGGGACTTCATATTTAGTACGCATACTCCACTGATTAAGTTCTTTCGAATGACACCATGGTCAATGACCTTGTGACCTTGACTGTGATCAATATGCTAAAAGAAGATTTTTTTAACTTTGTTGCCGCCGGGCGCGTAGTGTTTCACAAACACATCTTGTTCCAACATAAATCTTCTTCTCAAGAACAGCAAAGACATTTATTGTCCCCATTTTTGCTAAAGGTAGGGTACATTAAATCTCATTTGTTTGTCAATCTGCCTATCTGTCACAATAAATTTAACCTTGGTCATCATGGTCGTATATTTTGAATGAGAAGAGATAGGACTTTTATATTAAATATGTGTATTAGTATTAAATGGGACAATACCATTCTACATACAATATGATTTTCATTACCCATGATCTTGAAGTTTGACCTAATTTCCTTAAAAAAATTAATTGCTTTGAATTGATCATTTTGAAAGATAAATGAAAGGGCATTCATATTACCTGTGATAAGACCTTCCAAAATGTATCATGACTTTTTGACTCTGTGACCTTGACCTTGAAGTTTAACTTAGTTTTCATTAATGTTGTATTTCCTTTTCATTGAGAAGAGATTTGACTTTCACATTTCAAGTGAACATTACCCATAACAAGAGGCTCCCAACATGCTATGATTTTTTACCCCTTGACCTTGATGTTTTAACAAAATTTCAAAAGAGTGAACTCTCCCAAAAGATGATAAGACCACTGTTTAAAACAAAAAAGGAGTTTAGGGAAGACTGGGCTTTTTCCATAAAAAACGTCATTTTTCAACCCTCATTTGACCCCCCGGGCAAAATCAAAATTCCGAAACCTAACTGCACATCTACATGACCCAACCAACCATCTCCCAAAGATGATTAGGATGCTGAATAAAATGTAAGAGGAGTTCAGGGAAGATGGGGCTTTTTCCATAAAAAACATCATTTTTCGACCCTTATTTGACCCCCCAGGGCAAAATCAAAATTCCAAAACCTTACTGTACATCTACATGACCCCACCAACAATCCCCCAAAAGCTGGTTAGGCTACTGAGTAAAATGTAGAAGGAGTTCAGAGAAGATGGGGCTTTTTGGACAAAAAGCGTCATTTTTCGACCCCCATTTGACCCCCTGGGGCAAAATCGAAATTCCGAAAGCTTACTGCACATCTACATGACCCCACCAACCATCTCCCAAAAGCTGGTTAGGCTACTGAGTAAAATGTAGAAAGAGTTCAGGGAAGACGGGGCTTTTTGGACAAAAAACGTCATTTTTCGACCCCCATTTGACCCCCAGGGGCAAAATCGAAATTCCAAAACCTTACTGCACATCTACATGACCCCACCAACCATCTCCCAAAAGCTGGTTAAGCTACTGAGTAAAATGTAAGAGGAGTTCAGGGAAGACGGAGCTTTTTGCTTAAAAAACGTCGTTTTTCCAACCCCATTTGACCCCCTGGGGCAAAATCAAAATTCCGAAAGCTTACTGCACATCTACATGACCCCACCAACCATCTACCAAAAGATGATTAGGCTACTGAGTAAAATGTAAGAGGAGTTCAGGGAAGACGGAGCTTTTTGCTTAAAAAACGTCATTTTTCGACCCCCATTTGACCCCCTGGGGCAAAATCAAAATTCCGAAAGCTTACTGCACATCTACATGACCCCACCAACCATCTCCCAAAAGCTGGTTAGGCTACTGAATAAAATGTAGAAGGAGTTCAGGGAAGACGGGGCTTTTTGGACAAAAAACGTCATTTTTCGACCCCCATTTGACCCCCTGGGGCAAAATCAAAATTCCGAAAGCTTACTGCAAATCTACATGACCCCACCAACCATCTCCCAAAAGCTGGTTAGGCTACTGAGTAAAATGTAGAAGGTGTTCAGGGAAGACGGAGCTTTTTGGACAAAAAACGTCATTTTTCGACCCCCATTTGACCCCCCGGGGCAAAATCGAAATTCCAAAACCTTACTGCACATCTACATGACCCCACCAACCATCTCCCAAAAGCTGGTTAGGCTACTGAGTAAAATGTAAGAGGAGTTCAGGGAAGACGAAACTTTTTGCTTAAAAAACGTCATTTTTCGACCCCCATTTGACCCCCTGGGGCAAAATCGAAATTCCGAAAGCTTACTGCACATCTACATGACCCCACAAACCATCTCCCAAAAGATGATTAAGCTACTGTGTAAAATGTAGGAGGAGTTCAGGGAAGAAAAGTGTGACAGACGGACGGACGGACGGACGGACGGACGGACATGAGTAACAACAATATACCCGAACTTTCTTTAGAAAGTGCGGGTATAATTAAAATTCATTTACAAGTATTTAATTGTAAATGTTTATACAGATACATAAGTCTAAAATATTTGGCACATATCTACCTAACAAATAAGCCTTAACAAATCAGAGGATTAACAAAGTCTGCTAAAAAAGATAAGAAGTTTTACACTTTGCCAGCTCTAGACTTTTTTCCGAGTTTGGATTTCTTTGCAGGTGGTGGATCAAGGGGCTCTGGGGGGCGTGTGTTGGTTGGAGCGGTGTTTTCTTGCTGTTCAGAACTGTTCTGAAAAATACAAATGATCAAATAAATTAGGCAGTCTGATGGATACTACAAGAAGTTACTCTTTACAAAGATGTCCTTCAAAAATAACCTTAGGTCAGAAAGTGGTCAAGAACCGGATGAGAAAGTGAGGGGGGCGGGGCAGCATACCTCTTCATTTTCCTGATCCTCCTCATTTTGATTGTTTTCCTCTTCCTCCTCCTCCTCCTCTGATGATTCCTGTGAGTCCGAGTCGTTCTCCATCACGGCCTGAATCGTGGCCACATTGATTCGGAAATCTCGAGACGTGCTCATCTTCATGTGCTCCATCAGGTTCACCTTCAAATTACATAGCAAAAACATTTTAGTTATTTATATGGTTTAATTTACAGAACAATGTTGGATGTGTATCTAAGTTATTAAAACCTGGAGGGTTGATGTAGTACCTTGGACTTTTTGGACAGCTGAATCAGGAACTTTTCAAATGTTTCAATGGAGAAAATGAGGTTTGGAATGAGTCTGGATTCCTTCAGCACCCGTGCCTGAGTAAGAAAAGATTTATATTACAAGTTACACCTAATACAATGCTCAAAGAACAGAGAAAATCATACACTGTCAGGAAACTCATGAGAAGACAGCTCACACTAAAATTATATTTCTGACGAAGAAACATGTGATTTAAAAGGGATTTAACTTTAAGTTATTTCATATATACTTCCACATATCTAAGTAATGCAGTTTAAAAAAAATTCAATATTCTAAAAAAAATTCTTAATACCCCCTCAAACCCTCAAACAGTTTTCCCTACTAGATGATCAAAACTGGCAGGGGGTCATCACTTAATTCATGCATGTAACATTATGTCAACAAATACTCATATACTAATATCCATGTAGACACCAGCATGCTGGCATTTAGTCTGCACTATAATACAATCTGTCCAACCTTTCCAGCATTAAGAGCCGCAGCCTGCTTCTTCTTGTCCTTTTTCCCTTTGTCCACATTCTGCTGAACCTGCTCACTTTCTGTTTGCTACAAAATATAGATAGTAGGTTATTGTTATAGTGTAACACATTTTTAAATTTTGAAAAGGGCACCCTTGCTCATCATAAAAGATTTCAAAGCATTGATTTATTTACAGTTAGGTCACGGTTACATGGTCAGGGTCATATAAAAATCCATTTTGAAATTCCATGGTTCCTCTTTTGCAAAATAATGACCTAGGTACAATATTACTGGACAATCAGAGAGACAGATAAACATGTATATTATCTCTTACAGACCTGTTTACCCATATCGTCGTCTCTCAGTATTCTATGGTCTTTAACATTTTATAATACCACAGCATTTTCGCAACCAGACATCACTTAAGTGTTTGAAATTTTTCTCTTTTTTACTGATTAAAAGTGTCAGATCATACCAAAAACTAACTGCTAAATTCTTAACGAACGCATTTCAGATTTCCGTAATTTAATAAAAGCAAAACGTGAGACGTATTTTAGACTAAAAATCTGTACAAAATACAGCAAAATCGTAAGAGTAAACAGGTCTGCTCTTCATAGCAGTCCTTAGTTAGATATATACCTGTATATATGTGATCATTGCGTAGCAATACTGTGTTAAGTGGGTTCCAATCAATTTGATGAGCTTCTCAAACCTGGATGACAAATGGCCAGCCTTTAGCTGATAGAGATTCAGATACTGAAAAATAACATAACAAAATCATCAGCAAACAGGATGGAGAGTCTCATACAGGTAGTTAATTAAGATACTCCAAGCATTTTCTTCCTATGCATCATGCCAATAAAAAGATAATGAAGGTACTTTGAAATATTTACTCATTAAAAATTTAAAATACAAACTCACATTTATGATAATGCTTATAAGATACATTAGAAATGTCTTTACACTAAACGTAGAATACAAAATGGAATATAGGTTCATTTAAACACTAATTAATGGGAGATGTTCAAAAATTCTGAGAAATATAAAATAATTTAAGGATTCTAACAAAACTCCTCTATCATTAAATAATGTAAGTGCACCTATAATTTCGGTTTACACCGTATTTGACTAGAAATTTCAAATTCGTGTTCAGATTTGAATACACAGAGAAGAACGTACATATTTGACCAGGATGGTTAGGGTCCCGTACAGCCTGGTGGCCTGTTTGACCATGTTCTCCATACATCCCCCCACAGGTACCGCGGCCTGGACAAGCTCATGGAACGCGGTGACCAGTATACCTAGTCTGGTACAGATACTTCTCTCATGGCCTTCCTTCTGGGTCAGGTCTACCTCTGCTTCATCTGGAACCACACAAACTTAATGTTAAAGGACTGATGAGAATAGTTAATCACTGGGTACATAGAAAATTATATGTAACATTTGGTGTCATTAATTTGGATTGATTAAACAAGCATTCCTTTTCAAGTACATGCATGGATTAAATTTAACATTGAGCAAGGTTGAGATTCAAATTTTTATGTAGAAATATTTACTTCTTTCAATATCCATTGACTTATTCACTTCCCCATCCCTCCCTAAATAAAATTGGAGGTTAAAAAATAGTTTTATACTTATTTGGTAACCATAAATGTACACATATTCTTCATATTTTGTGTAGTTTTCATTGATAGAATTCTCCTGATCCTATAATTATCACACACACTGACCGTTGGCCTGTCCAGTCTCCGCCCGGAGTCTGGCCACCACCCACTCTGTATCGTCCAGTTCCCTCTCTACCTGCTGTAAAACTAAATTCAGCAGGACCGGGGCCGCGGTTCTGTGTGTCACCAAGGAAAAGTGAGTCTTGTCCTCCACCTGGGTCTCCTACAACAAATAATTCTAGGGCTGGAATAGTCATATGGCAAAAAATTGTCTGAAACACTAAGCATGCTTTGTTCCACTGGCAATACGTTGTGGTTTTACAATAAACAAAGTCAGTTTTCTCAATGTTTCTACACACACAAAACACACCTGGTCTATATCCCCCAGCTGACTGTGTACATCCTGTGAAAGGTCGCGTAACAAGGGCGGACAACTCTTCACCTGCTGGGTGATGGCCAACAGCATGGAGAATAGGAGTTTACAGGTAGGGATGTCATCTGGAAAGAGAGTTGGTTCTTGTAAGTACATGTACATGTATAAACACACAATTAGGAAATGAGATCAATTTATGAGTACTACTGGCTCACCAATACTCTGCTCCGTACAGATTTTGTGAACCCAGTCCAAGACTTTCTCAAACTGGTTCCCCGAGCTGTACAGCTTTTTACACAGAATCTGTATAATTCCCAGCAATAACTGGACCTCCTTCATGTTCTTATCTTCACTGTCAGATTTCAAAATGTTCATGACCAGTCGCTGAAAAAAAAAAAAAAATAGAAATAAAACTTATTAGAAACAGCTAAGGGTAACAGAACATATACACGTGTGGTATTCATGCTAAATGTGAATTTCAGAAATAACTCATTTCAACAAATTAACTACAGGCCACACCATTACTGGCTGAAGTTTTACCTGGTACTTTTTAATATGACTGTAAATAACTTCCTGGACATCTTCTGACTCATCAGCGTCCACTACAAAATGCCATACACTCTGAAATACTCAAATTCTTCCTCGTAAACAGTTATATCATAAATCATAGTGTATGCCTTCACATTTTCTGATATGATGGAAAAATTACATTCAGTCAAGTTTAAAAGTATCTCCTTCACAAAAACAATACAGTTATGGACTTATTAAAATGGTAACACATTTAACATTTCAAATCACAAGGAATCATTCAAGAGAAGCAATGTGCATATATAGTCAAACCTCATTATCTCACACTCAAAATGACTGAGAAAATGTTTTTTGAGACATCTGAGAATTCAAGATATCAGGGGAAAATACTCAAAAATAAGTGGTTGGGACTTCAAAAATCACTTGGATATAACCATGGAATTCAAAATATCAGTGTTTGAGATACCAAAGTTCAACTGTATATTCTAATCTACATGTTTAATCTAGTTACCCATTTCACAGAGACAGTGACAGAATTGGTCAGTGTAGCATTGGGATATAACAGTCATTCTATAAATCATTTACCCATTTCACAGAGACAGTGACAGAACTGTTCGGTGTATCGCTGGGATATAACGGTCATTATATAAATCACTTACCCATTTCACAGAGACAGTGACAGAACTGCTCAGTGTATCGCTGGGATATAACGGTCATTATATAAATCACTTACCCATTTCACTGAGACAGTGACAGAACTGTTCCGTGTATCGCTGGGACATAACAGTCATTATATAAATCATTTACCCATTTCACAGAGACAGTGACAGAACTGTTCAGTGTATCGTTGGGATATAACGGTCATGATATAAATCATTTACCCATTTCACAGAGACAGTGACAGAACTGCTCGGTGTATCGCTGGGATATAATGGTCATTATATAAATCATTTACCCATTTCACAGAGACAGTGACAGAACTGTTTGGTGTATCGCTGGGATATAATGGTCATTATATAAATCATTTACCCATTTCACAGAGACAGTGACAGAACTGTTCGGTGTATCGCTGGGATATAACGGTCATTATCCCCACCAGCCCCTCTAGACACTGGCCACTGATGTATTTACTCCTGTCTCTCTTCCCCTCCTCCTCGGGCCGCTGATTTTCTGTGTAGTGGGTGATGAATATCCTGAAACAGAAGTACATCTTTGTTGATGTCTAAGTCAATGCAGCTTTATTCCCATGTAAAATGATTATATGGATAACAGATAGCATGGTAAGTTGAGAACAATTTGTTAACCTAACTTAAATTTAAGCATATGGAGTCCATTAATGGTAGACTAAATTACATGCTTGAAATGAAAAGCATAAAAAAAACCACTTTACACGTAATTTCCTAGTGTTTGATCAGAAAATTGTTTTTAACAATAGAAAAGTAAATCTACATATATGCGAGTCCCTCCCTAACATTTATGATTCTCTCATTTCTTACTTGGCCAGACAGATAAGATACTGGAGAATCTTGGTTTTATCCCCACCCTCTGCCCCATCACACACCCCCTTCTCCTGGACCTGATGTATTTTCTGTAGAGCCACATTGACAATATGTCTTCTGAAGTCCGTGTCATCTCTCAAGATCTTCAGATTTTCTGTCAAACTTGGTGCAGTTTCACTGAAATATTAAAGCCATAGAGTGATTTTTATACTGTTTTTATTTACTTCTGAAAATAATATAATGAACCTTACTGTAATAACTGTTAAACCTTATATTTACTCAGGTTAAAATTTTGAGGTTTGAGGAAAACTGCTGTTTCAAGGGAATTTATAATTTTGTAGTTAAAGAACTGCTGTGTAGCTTCACATTTAAAATTTTACAGATTTTTTTTTTTAGGATAAAAATTCATGGGTCTCTTCATACGATGAAAACAGCAAAAATTTAACCCTCACGATTATTACTATATTAGTGATTCACAATATTGTCTCAAACCAATATACCTGTTCAATAACATGGTTCTACCCTGCCTACCTAATGAGAGCCCTCAGGATCTCTGTGGTCCCCCTGATAGACAGGAGGCTGAGGGGGGTCTTATTTCCTGTGGGAGGTTTTCCCTTTCTTCCCAGCACCAGTAGCAGCTTTTTCTTTCAAAACTTCACTCAATTTCTTATAATTCTCAAACAAATGTAAAATCTGCTGCAAGCTTGACTCACTACAATTAAAGGGTTTTTCTTTAATTTTTGAAGCAAAACAGACATTTCTAGGATCATTTCATTAAAATCTTAATTTCTTCATTTTCAGATCAAGTTTTAAGAAAATTACACTCACTGAAATTTTTTTTTACATCTAACAAGGGACTCTAAAATTTTCTCTGTGTACAAGTTTTTGCTGTTTATAATTACCTGTATTGCCCAGTGTTGAATGTGTACTCCATCAAAGACTCATAAATCCCCAGAACTAGTATGGAGAATATGTTATTTTTGACCCCAACACTGTTAGCTAGAGAGTAGTCGGCAGATTTGTCCTATAAATTTAAAATATATTATTTTATTTTATCATGATAAAGATATAAAATATTTACATCTATATATTTTAAGTCTATTTAAACGATATAACATTTTAAAATCCCATTTTCCCCTGTAAATTTCACATTCCTGAATTAAGATGTATAATTCTTTTGAGTTTAAGATTCAAAATGCTTTAACCCATCTACTGATTTACATGTTGACAGACAGAACAGGGATCGTTCCGAGATATTTCTGTAATACTGATAATGTTTAACTAATGTTTACCAGTTCAAAGTCCTCCATCTCAGACTTAATCATTCGGGTGACGAGGGACTCCATCTTGTCCTCCAGTTCCTGTTGTGTGTGGTTCGAGTCCTCCATTACCGTGTCGTCATGGTCACCGCTCATCTGACGACGAATGTCACTGACCTTAATCAGGCAGAGCTGGATACAACAGATCAAGTGAGCCTGCAATGAGAGATAAACATAATAAATTAAAAGCATATCACATGAGAGCTTGAAGTAACATGTCCCATACCAGTATTACGTTTGAAAATTTTCTACAAGACAGGCAAACAAACATGAACTGATAACAAATTTTCTAGACTTGGAACAACTCAGATTGAAAACTATTTATAAATCAACCCTCCAGTTTTTCTCTGTAAGAACACAGCTCTCAATGTGGCTTAACTATAGAGGGAACCACAGACGGCTCAACCTCTACAGGAACCACCGAGACCCGCGACCCACAGAACCCTGAAAAACTGGGTCAACTGAGTAAGGAATCATCACTGTAGTTCTCAAGTCATGTAAATAATTCCTTAAATAAATGGAAAATAATATGTCTGTGCTTGTCAATTTCTTGATAAATCAACATTTAATAACCATAATGTTGAATGAGGTTAATTATGCTAAGATCTGGCAATGTTTATGCTTGAACTAAAATTTTCAAACCTTCTAATGCTAGATGTATATCAACAATAAATAAAGCATGCACAAGTTTTGATATATCTAAGCTAAGTTTTTAACTTACCAGCGGTTCAGCTAGATATATCTGATCTCCTTGAGCTGTGATGCAGAGATCCAGTTTAACAGGGGGGTTCACATCTTCTGTAGGCTCATAGTACTTCTTTAGCTGTGAAAAGATATTTTATACATTGAATTTATTGGGTTTTCATGATGATAACTTTTCACTTGTTATTTGATATACTGTGTATTACCTGACTCAGAAGAATTTCCAAAACTGATCCCATTATTTGAGTATTTTTACACAAAGCTTCATAGATTCCCTGTAAACACAAAGAAAAATAATTCGTTTAAAGTCAAGAAGACTTTTTTTAATTTGATCTAAACATGAGATTTTTCTAAGCTGTATATCAATCACTTGTTTTATACATTTAACCCTGCTTACCTGGTAGAACATGAGTCTAACATCAGCTTGTTGAGTGAGAACTCGACGGAGATTTCCCATGATTTCTAGACACAGCGCCTCATTACTGGCCGGATTGTACCGAGCATGGATGTCAGCTTGTACCTATAAACGTAAAAAAGAATAGAATACTATTTTAAAAATACTTCCTTGAAAATTAGTTGTCGTTATTGCATAGTAAACCTAAAAATATGCTTTTTAATTTTGGAGAGTTTTTTAACATATCAGTAACATTATTTGAACAATAATAACTGTACAAAGGCATGCGGAAAAACTAACCAAGTAACGTAATACTGTATCAACCATGCAAAACAACTAAAATTTTCTTCTTAAATTGGCTAAGCTTTCGGTAAGTATACTGACTATACTCATAAACATATTGAATAAGACAAAATTAATCTTGCAGGAAAAATGCAATAAAGTAATGTAAAATATGAGGTAAAATAAAGAGCACCATGCAAAATTAACTTAGCAGTTTGTAATGCAAATTATGTTAATAAATCATTATTTTCTAAATTATTAAACTAATATATTGAATCTAATTCTTCTACTCTACAGTAAAGGGAAAACAAAATGCTAATAAAATCAAAGGCCACACCTCAGATAGTTTCATGATTTTCTCCATCTAATAAAGTATCATAAATCCATGGAAAAATTGTGGCAATACAATCTGACGGTAAACATTTTTCTTTGAAAATATGAACTGAATTTCTTTTTATACTAGAACTTTAAAATTTATTATATAATCTAAATTTTTTTCTTTTTCTACTTTCCACTGTCAGTAAAACTGGTAAACATATGTAATTGGACAAAAGAAATTTACCTGACTTGAGGAGAATTGCTGACTAGCCTGACTGGAAGGCATTCCACCAAGAATACGGAAATTTTTCAGGAACATCAAGAATCCAAACACTCCTATCTTTCTAGAGTCTAACTGCCTGAAAATATTCTGTAGATCTTAGTACACATATTCATTTCAACATGCAAACACCTTCTTGCTTGGATGTATAAATTTTTGTGCACTACCTTGAGAACATGGCTTTCCTGAGGACGAGAATGAGCGAGTCTCTGAGTGACATACTGAGCTTCAGTAGGGGGTGGATGGCTTTCAGTAGTCCCTCGGCGGCGGTGGGGGTGAGGAAGGCCAGGTAGTCAAACGTCTCACGGACCTTACAGGAGGACTCAAGGAGCCTCTGGGGGGCTGACATCACTGTACTGGACAGCAGGTCTACAACAACAAGATCTCAGACTGATTCTACACCAGTGACAGGCTTCACATACTGAGCCAGAAGAAACATAGGTAATCAGAGATTACAGAGCTCACCTCAACGAATGTTGTCTTTAAGTAAGGCAAAGTCACACAATTAACCAACAAAAAGTATACATTCCAAACATGAAAATATTTTTAAAAGCAATTTTGATCTGATACTTTGAAATAGACCTACATAAAAAATTTAAACTACTTCTTCTTCATGAAAATGTAATGAAAATCCAGCATCTGAAGCAAATTTGAGAGTTTTCATCTCTTGATGCAGCATTTGTGCAAGTTTGGTTTATACAATGTTATATAAGCCTTATAGTTTTTGGTAATAGACCTGCAACCATAACTTTTACCTTGTCTATTATCTGAAAAATGTATGTCCAATTCAGCATCCGAAGCAAGTCCATTAGTGTGCATCCTTAGATGTATCATCCATTCAAGTTTGCTCATTATAGGGCTCATAGTTTATTGGAAATGAAACATGCATCAAAACTAACATTTTCACTCATCCACAAAAAGTAGGTCAGATTCAGCATCCGAAGCAAGCCTGGAAGTATGCATCCTTAGACGTATCATCTATGCAAGACTGGTCATTAAAGAACTCATAGTTCCTTGGAAATGAAACCTGCATCAAAAACTTTTAACTATTCACTCAACCGGAAAATGTAGGTCAGATTCAGCATCCGAAGCAAGCCCGGTAGTGTGCATTCTTAGATGTATCATCCATACAAGTTTGGTCAACATAGGGCTTAAAGTTACTTGCAAATGAAACCTGCACCAAAAACATTAACCTGTTCGCTCAACTGGAAAATGTAGGTCAGATTCAGCATCCGAAGCAAGCCCGGTAGTATGCATCCTTAGATGTATCATCCATGCAAGTTTGGTCAACATAGGGCTTATAGTTACTTGGAAATGAAACCTGCACCAAAAACTTTAACCTGTTCACTCAACTGGAAAATGTAGGTCAGATTCAGCATCCGAAGCAAGCCCGGTAGTATGCATCCTTAGATGTATCATCCATGCAAGTTTGGTCAACATAGGGCTTATAGTTACTTGGAAATGAAACCTGCACCAAAAACTTTAACCTGTTCACTCAACTGGAAAATGAAGGTCAGATTCAGCATCCGAAGCAAGCCCAGTAGTATGCATCCTTAGATGTATCATCCATGCAAGTTTGGTCAACATAGGGCTTATAGTTACTTGGAAATGAAACCTACACCAAAAACTTTAACCTGTTCACTCAACCGGAAAATGTAGGTCAGATTCAGCATCCGAAGCAAGCCCGGTAGTATGCATCCTTAGATGTATCATCCATGCAAGTTTGGTCAACATAGGGCTTATAGTTACTTGGAAATAAAACCTGCACCAAAAACTTTAACCTATTCACTCAACCGGAAAATGTAGGTCAGATTCAGCATCCGAAGCAAGCCCGGTAGTATGCATCCTTAGATGTATCATCCATGCAAGTTTGGTCAACATAGGGCTTATAGTTACTTGGAAATGAAACCTGCACCAAAAACTTTAACCTGTTCACTCAACTGGAAAATGTAGGTCAGATTCAGCATCCGAAGCAAGCCCGGTAGTATGCATCCTTAGATGTATCATCCATGCAAGTTTGGTCAACATAGGGCTTATAGTTACTTGGAAATGAAACCTGCACCAAAAACTTTAACCTGTTCACTCAACTGGAAAATGTAGGTCAGATTCAGCATCCGAAGCAAGCCCAGTAGTATGCATCCTTAGATGTATCATCCATGCAAGTTTGGTCAACATAGGGCTTATAGTTACTTGGAAATGAAACCTACACCAAAAACTTTAACCTGTTCACTCAACCGGAAAATGTAGGTCAGATTCAGCATCCGAAGCAAGCCCGGTAGTATGCATCCTTAGATGTATCATCCATGCAAGTTTGGTTAACATAGGGCTTATAGTTACTTGGAAATAAAACCTGCACCAAAAACTTTAACCTATTCACTCAACCGGAAAATGTAGGTTAGATTCAGCATCCCAAGCAAGCCCGGTAGTATGCATCCTTAGATGTATCATCCATGCAAGTTTGGTCAACATAGGGCTTATAGTTACTTGGAAATGAAACCCACACCAAAAACTGCACCAAAAATGTTAACCTGCTCCAAAAACATTAACCTGGTCATTCCTTTGCTGAAATTGCAGCATCTGAAACTTTGACTGGTACAATGAAACACACTAGAAACATCTTCCATGCATGTCTAATCAATATAGGACATAGAAGTACTTAAAAAGAAAACTGCTCAAAAAAACTTAACCTTAACCCGGGACGCCGACGCCGAGGGTATTACATAAGCTCCCCCAACTTCGTTGAGGTGAGCTAAAAATCGAAATGTTATAATTATACCTAAGTAATGGCTGACGGGTGATGTGGCCTTGGTAACAACCCTGTTGAAAATCTGCTCCAGAATTTCACCTCTGACCATGTCATGAGCCTAAAAAATAATTTGGAAAATCTTCAAAAATTATTCAATATTTTTTTGTTATAAACATTTTTTGCATTGTATCATCTATAAAACCCAAGGATTACCCTTATGATGTGATAACATCATACAATCATGCATGCAAGTTAAAACCAATTGTATACAGGGAATTTTCACTCTCGTTTTATTTTTGCACTTTTTTCCTGGCAAATTCAAAATGGGGCGAATACAAAGAATACAGTATTACGTCCTAAACAAAACTGTGAATGCGCAAATTCAAAACAAGGCATAGCGTGAAAGGGTAAAATAACATGGTGTAAAAATAAGCCTTATACAGTACTTTGTGAAGTGATAATGTCAATCTTACTTTGAATGTGTTGAGTAGGATCTTATTCCCCAGCTGACAAGCAGAGTGGGAAGGGCCGGTCTGTATACTCCCCGGCTCTACACGACCAAAGGCTCCCTTAGGACCATAGGCATCCATTAACCCAAACCCCAGCTGAACCAAACCCTGAATCACATGGTCCCAACCATGCTTGCTTAAATTGACAATAGTTAAAAGATCAGTTCAATCATAGACAACTTTTTTTTTTGTTTTTAATAGCATAGACCACTACATTGATTTCATTTTGTAGCAGAGTATAATAATGGATGATCAACTCAGAAAATGCAAACAAACAAAAACAAAACCAAAAGAAAAGATCAGTAGAGTTCATTAAAAGCTGTTGAACTTCTATACTTTTTATTATAATTAGATAGACAAAGCACATGTATAAAGCCACAAGTTCCCATAGTCACTTAGTATCTAGTTCTTCTCTGTTTTGTATTGTGAACAACAGTTCATACTCCTGTACTTGACAAGTACATAGTACTCACCTGTTTTGTATTGTAGACAGAACATACTCCTGTACGTGACATGTATCAGGGACAATCTCTCGTACCCAGCTGGACTGCTTCTGTTTCTCACTGTCTTTAAAACTCTTGATAATTGTAGCTTTAAGTAAATCAAATGTCTGGAAAAAGATCATTAAAAACACAATTTTTAACAATCTGGTGAGGATTTCAAAAATTGATGAAAAAAGTGTTTATTTTTTTATTTTTCTGCAAGAAATTATGTCAGTTAGAGCGGAGTAAAATGCAACATCTATTAAATGGAAATTAATGAAGCAAATTTAAACACACCCCCCCAAAAAAAGGCCCATGGGCCAAAATGCTAAACTGAGTAATTATGGCCCTGTAATTCTTCATCAAATTTCCCTCTTGCCCAAACCTTTCCAAGGGATCACAATTTCAGAATTTAATAATTTAGTTTGATTTTTACAATGTATAATCTATACTAACCCAGAATGCTTCCACATAAGTTTGAGGTTTTCTGACAAACTGGATACCATTCGTAGACCCCCCCCCCCTTTCCCGACCTAAGAAAGAAATCCTGGACCTGTTGCCTGCTTTAAAGCCTAATATAAATTACATGAAATTTATTTTATGTAAATTTTAAACAAATGGACTTCAAGTAAAAAAATAAATCAAGATGAATTTGAATATATATTTATTTACAAGAATGTAGATGCTCATCTCTTGTTATGTAGATGCTCGCATAAAAAGGAAGGATGTCTACTCTGTTACTCTGCACCCTCACCCCCACCCTCTTCAAATCTTCACAAAATATTTTACTTTTTTTAGGCTAAATTTATCAGGTAGAAACAAAAATGTATTGTAAATTTTAAACCGTTTTGATTTGGTTTATTCTGGACCGGTTTTGGTTTATATCGGATAAAAATGTACGTCACATTTGACGTCACTGGTGCAGCAGAAGTCTTGTGTGTTGGAAAAAGGTAAGTGCTCTCAGATATTTTTTGAAGACTTTTGGCTTAGTTCATGGTGTTAAAATCACTTCATTACGGTTACAGAGAAGCGAATAAACTTTGTATATAGCGCAGCATTACTATCAACAAGTACAGGTCTAATACAGTTCATGAAAGCCGAACCTGGTGATCTAACAAGAAAATTTAGATTTGTTTATGATAATCATAAATGAAAAAACCAATTACCATACCGATCCAGCATTACCAATTATTCATGTAAATTTGTTTCCCTTTTGTCTGTAGTTATGCTTACATATTATACACAATCTCGATATGAAAGTGAAAGTAGAAACATTGTGTAGCAGTTGAAGTAAATTGTTATATTCAGATCATTATCCATACGGTTCTTTAAACAATTTAATGGAAACTTGTTGTTTTTATTAGGCCAATATATTAAGCAACTGAAGTTCAGCGTCCCAGTGCCGTTTTTATTCAAAGAACCCAATGCTGATTTGACTGAGGGACGATTGAACAAAGTTATTGAACTAATGTCCATTTTACCTTGTTAACTGGCGATTGTGTGATGACAAATCGGGTACATACAAAAATATTAATAGTGTTTACCAGTAATGACTATTCAAGGAAAGAATATTTCCTGAAAACATCCTTTTTGTACTTGTATCTTAATTCATGATTTAATGGCGTTTTAAAAAATAATCCAACTCTTTTTTTACAGAATAATATACCAGCACATTTTTAAAAACCTGTAAGATATGGCATGTATGGAGAGAATTTTCTGGCAATAAAACAACACAAAATCTACATGTATATGGGGATAAATTTTCATCTAAAGCAGACATACAAGGTACTATAGTTTGTGCTCATGATTTACAAGCGTCAAAAGAACAATAAGAAAAATAATTTGTGTATTCAATTTTATGAAATTAATTTAAAAAGTACTGAATTATTTTAAAAAACTCCAAGTATCAGTTAATTCATTGATTAATTATATATCTATATCAATTAACATTTTAATTTTTTTTCAACACTAGAGAAACTAGAGTCTCTGTTGTAGTTAGATAAACTGTGTAAATAATCATTTGATATTTTTACAGGTTCAATATACAACCTGCCTTTTTCATAATGAAAACATTGAAGAACAGACACCAAGACCCCAAGCTTGCTTCAAAATAGGTAAGTAAATACTCTGTAATAAACTTAAAACTTTCTTGTATATTCTTCCCATGAAAGTTTTAGGATATACTGTATTCAAAATGTCTGGGTTTTTTTGCTTGTCTCTTTGTAGTATTTATTTTTTGGTCAAGGGTTATACATTTGTATCTCGATCATTCTGAATCATGCCTATATCATTTTTGGCAATCTGTATTTACCATTTAAACATTCCAAGTTCAATTGTCAAAATTTTGAAAAAGTTATTGCTATTGCTTATAAACTCACCTGAGAATGAGATTTTGGATTGAAGGCCGTCCGTTGTCTGTCGTAATCGTTGTCATAGTTAACTTTTCACAATTTCATCTTTCATATAGTTTCAAATCACATTACATATAACTAAATTACCTGCAGTGGTTTTTTTCTGTATTTCCAAGAGCTTAACCAGCAGAATCTTTACATTGTAGGCTCCACAGTGCCTTAACATGAGAAGTTTTCAAATCGTTTGACCATGATCTAAGGGGCTGATAAAATTTCTTAAGTGCTCTAGGTAATTACTTTTTGTGGTAACATATTTTAATTAATAATACATGTAATTATCACGACTTTGGGACTTCTTAATTATTTAATTATTTTCTTCATCATTTCAGAAGCAATGCAGTCACTGTCAGGAAAATGAAGCCAGAATTGTGTAAAAAAAAATGAGAAATAAATGCAGGATTAATGTTTTAAAATTTGTTCTTTTATTTTCTTATTGTTTACTTAAGGCATTTAGTTCACATTGCAATTCAAGGAAATACCAATTATTAATATAAAATTGTAAAGAAAGAAATAAAATTAACATACGCTCAACATATGAAAAACATATGAACATAAACGTATGTTGATCATATGATCGTACAAAACATATGAATAACATATGCTAAACGTATAACCAACATATGTTTAGAAACATATGTTCACCATATGTTGCTCATTTTTTATGGCGAACATATGTTTCGGAACATATGTTAAACGTATGTTCAACATATGTTGAACATACGTTGCAATTTTACCTGTGTATGTAAAAATTGAATTTCTTATTGTGGCCTCACCCTTACCCTAGGGGCTATGACTTGAACTATCAAGAATTTACACAAGCCTAGCATGCTTTCAAATAAGTTGCAGATCCTCTGGCCCAGTGGTTCTTGAGAAGATTTTTTAATGCACCACCCTAGTTTTGCATTTTCTTGATTATCCATCCTTGAGGGGGATCTTGGTACTTTATTTCAGCAATTTAGAATCTTTTTCATCAAGAGATGATTTATGCCAATTTTGGTTTTAAAAAATTGGCATAATGGTTCTTGAGAAGAAGTTGAAAATATGAAAAGTTTAGACAGACGGACGAACAGCTAGACAGATGAATGGATGTGGGACAACAGGTGATCAGGATAGCTCACTTGAGTTTTCAGCTCAGGTGAACTAAATACATATAAAACTAATCCATCCAAACTAATTAATTCTCAAGTATACACCTCACCTGGCCTTCAAATCTGTGAATCCTGGACAGTGAGAGAGACAGAGCCAGAACAAATGGGGCCAGAACTCGGGAAGTGTCAGACTGGTTATTCTACAACAAACAAACACAATGCAACACACCACATATATAAATCCTTAGCCCATTGAATTTAGATTGAAAGTTATACCAGTATTCAGTACACTTCGAGCTACATGTAAATCATTTTTATTTCCACCACAGGTATTCCTTTCTACCTGTGTATTACTTACCTTGAGAAACTTGATGAATTCCCTCCCCAGTTCCTGGTCCATACTGATAGCGAAGTTAATATGGAGTATAATAGTCCCCTCTGTCTGTCTCAGCGTCTCCACACTGAAGTTATCTCCCTCTAACAGATCTTCACTGCAACAAATCAATGATACAATTAACATTAAAACAGAACCATTACAAAATGAACACCACATGGAATTTGTGATAAAATAAACAATCCTCTTGACTAAACATGTTGATGGTAAGTTGATAACAAACAGACCTGAATTCATTAGGATCATGGTCTTTATGCGTTGCATCTTGTTCTATGAAGTATTTTGTTACACCATCAATCACCAGTCTCTTGTGGCCCTGTAAAGCAATGGTTCAAAATGTAAGTATTATATTAAATGAAATTACCAATTTTATTAAAAAAAATTCATGTATATTTGGATATTAAGGAAATGGAAACACAACACTGTAATGCAAAGAATTAAATGGAACTATAAAAGTTATTATACTTTATTAGAGTAATGGGCAGGTAAATCTGTCATCATGTCAGCATCAAGAACTTACTTTGTTAGAGAGTAATAAGAGCTGATAAACAAGGGCAGGTAAATCTGTCGTCATGTCTGTGTCCAGAACTTACTTTGTTAGAGAGTAGTAAGAGTTGATAAACAAGGGCAGGTAAATCTGCCAGTTCTAACTCCTTTATCATTCTGAGGATTTTCTCCAGGACGAACTTGACTTCCTCGCTGGTCAGGGTGATGTCCTTAAACATGGCCGCTAAATGTAGGACACTCTTTGTGTTCCATCTGTAAAAGAATGGATCATAAACAAAGGTTATTCATTTTATTTTCAAAAATGTCATCATCTTTCAATGTACAATATTTATCTTTTACAATTACTCAAGAGGCAATCCTTATTCATAGGACTGTCATGGTTCTAAAAATAATTCAGGTTGTTAAGTAATTTGTTAATTTAATATTGGGTCTTTTTATTTGATTCTTCATTAATTTTTTAAAATTAAATGACTTGAAACTTTCCTCCTCCAAATTTACTTCAAAATTTAACATGACTATGATCAAGTTTTGACATTGGTGGTTACATCTACAAGAATTATTATTAGTGATGGGGAATCGGAAAAAAATCATAATCGATTATCGGTAATAATCGGCTGGGCATAATCGATTAATAATCGATTATAATCGAAATTTTGAACTTCAATAAAATTAATATAGAAAAGTTAAAACTTATTCAGATTTCTGTCAGACTTTTACATAAAAAACATTTACTTACATAAAATAATAAAATATTCAAAAATTTTAATTGAAATTTCTTTTTTAAAAAGTGGAAGACTTTCACTTACTTATTCAAAAAGAAACCAAGGAGGAAAGAAAGAGAGATAGAAACTCAAATGTTTCTTCAAAATTTGATATGGACTCAAGGAAAAATCCTTGACAGCTTACTTGCAGGAACAGAGGCTGTTGATGACATGGTTTTTGTATTTCTCTCCACTCAAACAGCTCTCTCCAAAAGAAACAGTCTCCTCTACAGACAAGGCTGACAGGATCTTAGGTAGTAGTGCCAGGCCTCTGTTAGAAAAGGAATAAAGCTAGTGACTCAAGCTCCTACACGTAACATCCTCAAACTGATGATAAACATTGCAAAAATATGTAAAATTTGATGGTTATTCTCATTGAAAGCATTCATAAATAAATCATGGTTTTATATGCCTCTATGGGAAGCATGCAATGGTATGATTGTCTATTGTAATGGTATGATTGTCTTTTATAATGGTATGATTGTCTATTGTAATGGTATGATTGTCCATTGTAATGGTATGATTGTCTATTGTCACGGCTCTCGATTCTCTATATTTGGGGCCGATATTTGGCCCCGTTCCCAATGCAAAAAAGGTACATTTTTTCCCAAAAGAAAGGTGTAAATTTCCCAATTTCCATAGCAAAATATTAATTAAAAAATAAAAGTCCATGAAACTTAATCGCAAAAAAAACAAGAGGCCCAGGGGCCACAGCGCTCACCTGAGCACATTGGCTAGGAAAAAGCAAATCAGATCAGAAACTGAAAGTTTACTGAGGTTGGGGCGGGGGGCTTGAATTTTAACCTCCCAGGGGATCATGATTTGAATGAACTAGAATCTACACTACCTGAAGATGATTCCATATTAATATCACTAATCATAGCTTTGAAGTACTTGAAAAGATGATTTTAAAAGGTTTCCCTATAAATCCCTATGTAAAACTTTGGTCGGCCATTTTGGCCCCACCCTAGCCCCGGGGATCATGATTTGAACAAACTTGAATCTACACTACCTGAGGATGATTCCACTTGAGTTTCATCTTTCCTGGCCCAGTGGTTCTTGAGAAGAAGATTTTTAAAGATTTTTCCTATATATTCCTATGTAAAACTTGGGTCGGCCATTTTGGCCCCACCCTGGTCCCGGGGGTCATGATTTGAACAAATTTGAATCTACACTACCTGAGGATGATTACACGTGAGTTTCATCTTTCCTGGCCCAGTGGTTCTTGAGAAGAAGAATTTTAAAGATTTTTCCTATATATTCCTATGTAAAACTTGGGTCGGCCATTTTGGCCCCACCCTAGCCCCTGGGGTCATGATTTGAACAAACTTGAATCTACACTACCTGAGGATGATTCCACATGAGTTTCATCTTTCCAGGCCCAGTTGTTCTTGAGAAGAAGATTTTTTAAAAATGCCATTAATTTTTCTCTAATTCATAATTATCTCCCCTTGGAAAAGAGCGTGGCCCTTCATTTGAACAAATTTGAATCCCCTTTACCCAAGGATGCTTTGTGGCAAGTTTGGTTGAAATTGGCCCAGCGGTTCTTGAGAAGAAGTCGAAAATGTGAAAAGTTTACGGACAGACAGACAGACGGAGAGCTAGACGACAGACGGACGCCGGACAAAATGTGATCAGAAAAGCTCACTTGAGCCTTCGGCTCAGGTGAGCTAAAAACCCAAACGAAACAAACTTGCAAATGAAAGTGAAACTGTACTACTATTTTAATAGTTCGCGCCAAATGCATTCGTAAACTGGTTCAGGGAACCAGGTTATTGTTTTTACAAAAATATGTACTAACTATTAGAGCAGAGTATCTTGTCATGTAGTTTCAACAAAAACATCATATTGGTTTCAAAAATAGACATTTCATTTAAACATTAGTAAGCTGCACCTAGAAACATACCCACGCTTTGGCATGTGCAGTCTCGCGCTGTTTTGTTAAGCAAAGTTGTCCATGTGATCGAGGAAATTCGGAACTACTTGACCAGCGACTGTCACTCAGAAAGACATATAACGGCAATTATCAACACTCAAAGATAGTAATGACAAAGCTAATGTACTTTCATAAATAGCCTACGTACCAATGTTTGTTCTGTTTAACTGTTCATTCAAAACCAGAGTTAAATTGATGACAAAATGCTAGAAAAGCAAAATTTGAGGATTTTTTTAATGAATTTTGGTTATCCAACTTTTCCCAAAATGAGGATAATTTTCCCAATTTGAATGGCCCAGGCCCCAGTCCCAAAAAGTGGCGTGAGAGCCCAGATTGCAATGGTATGATTGTCTATTGTAATGGTATGATTGTCTTTTATAATGGTATGATTGCCTTTTGTAATGGTATGATTGTCTATTGTAATGGTATGATTGTCTATTGTAATGGTATGGTTGTCTATTGCAATGGCATGATTGTCTAATGCAATGGCATGGTTGTCTAATGTCATGGCATGGTTGTCTAATGTCATGGTATGATTGACTATTGTCATGGTATGATTGTCTATTGTCATGGTATGATTGTCTATTACTTTCCACACTGGACGGAGCCACCTTTAACCATATCTATGAACAGGGAGGAGATTTCTGCCAGAGCACTGTTGTTTAATGTGTCAGCCTGTAAAGAAATTGCAAGGCATTTTATTGGTACATATCCTTACTTCAACATTTTGAAAAAATGTTTTGAGGCTCATGACACAATGCAAATTATTTCGAGACAGTTAAGGAAATTATTGATAAACTGCAAGTGACATTTTATTGATGTCTCACAAAAGCACAGTATATAATTTACTGAAAAATCATGTCATGCAATCTTACATGATGTGTTATCCTATTCAAATAAATATTTATGGATTAAACTCAATGTCTGCGAAAACATAAAATAAATTAAAGAAGAAAAAAAATCTGTAATAAAAATAAACAGAACATTTTCATTGATTAAAGGAAATACTTGAGTACATCAGATTTTACATGAGTATTGACAATCTATTTTAACACAAAATAAAGAGATAAAACTTATGAATTCTGTGTGCACTGAATTTTACATTTGATATTTAGGTACCTCTATCAACAGCATCCCTGTCAGATTTGATGCCAGTTTACTTGACAGCTCATTCTTTTCCAGAATCTGAATACATCTTTTATAGAGTTCAACACCTATCTTCCTGCTTCCCGGGTCACTTGCTGAAGCTAAAGTATAATATACATAATAAAGAACTTGTATCAGGAAATAGTAATCATAAACACTGTAATCAAACTGTTAAGACATTGCTTTAAAAAGAAAAATCTTGTATTAAAAAGAGGTTTTAGAAAAAACATTGATTTTCAGATGCAAACCTTGTAAAACAGTTCTAAGGAGAGAAACTGGATCACCTTTTTCTCTACATAGTCTTTTTGCTATGGTGTCAATGATCTAAAAAAAAAATTTAGAAACTACAAACATTTCTAAGGGACAGGTCAAGATAAGTTAACTTTCTTGATGTGGTATTTCATTGCAAGGTAACATTTTCCATGTCATTGTGCATGACTTTTATAAAGCTGTGGTTATGCAGCCATCCTTAATGACTTGATATTCACAAACCACATGAGAGGAAAACGGGGAGGGGGTTGTCAGTGTATGTCAATGTGCTAATTTTTTCAATATTATTTATTCCAGATACTGTCTAACTTTGATGAAGAATATTGATAGCCCTGAATGCAATGGACTTACATCAGGGCTCTCGATTCTCTAAATCTGGGGCCGATATTCGGCCCCATTCCCAATGCAAAAAAGGTACCTTTTTTCCCAAAAGAAAGGTGTAAATTTCCCAATTTCCATAGCAAAATATTAATTAAACAAGAGGCCCATGGGCCACATCGCTTACCTGAGAAGCTTTGACCATTCTGTTCTTTACCAGATTTCCCCCTTGTTATACATAATGCATACCCACCCTACCCCACTGATCATAATGTAGACATTTTGAAATCTACACTACCCCATGATCCTTCCATGGGCACATATGTTTCAGCTTTTTTGGCCCAGTGGTTCCCGAGAATAAGATTTTCAAAGATTTTTCCTATATATTTCTATGTAAAACTTTGATTCCCTATGATGGCCCCGCCCTTCCCCCGGGGGTCATGATTCCTACAATTTAGAATTTACACTACCCCAGAATGCTTCCACATAAGCTTCACTTTTTCTGGCCCAGTGGTTCTTGAGAAGAAGATTTTCAAAGATTTTTCCTATATATTTCTATATAAAACTTTGATTCCCCATTGTGGCCCCGCCCTTCCCCCGGGGGTCATTATTTGAACAATTTAGAATCTACATTATACCAGGATGCTTCCACATAAGCTTCACTTTTTCTGGCCCAGTGGTTCTTGAGAAGAAGATTTTCAAAGACTTTTCCTATATATTTCTATATAAAACTTTGATTCCCCATTGTGGCCCCGCCCTTCCCCCGGGGGTCATTATTTGAACAATTTAGAATCTACATTATACCAGGATGCTTCCACATAAGTTTCAGCTTTTTTGGCCCAGTGGTTCCTGAGAAGAAGATTTTCAAAGATTTTTCCTACATATTTCTATATAAAACTTTGATTCCCCATTGTGGCCCCGCCCTTCCCCCGGGGGTCATTATTTGAACAATTTAGAATCTACATTATACCAGGATGCTTCCACATAAGTTTCAGCTTTTTTGGCCCAGTGGTTCCTGAGAAGAAGATTTTCAAAGATTTTTCTTATATATTTCTATGTAAAACTTTGATTCCCTATAATGGCCCCGCCCTTCCCCCGGGGGTCATGATTCCTACAATTTAGAATTTACAATACCCCAGAATGCTTCCACATAAGTTTCACTTTTTCTGGCCCAGTGGTTCTTGAGAAGAAGATTTTCAAAGATTTTTCCTATATATTTCTATATAATAAAACTTTGATTCCCCATTGTGGCCCCGCCCTTCCCCCGGGGGTCATTATTTGAACAATTTAGAATCTACATTATACCAGGATGCTTCCACATAAGTTTCAGCTTTTCTGGCCCAGTGGTTCTTGAGAAGAAGATTTTCAAAGATTTTTCCTATATATTTCTATATAAAACTTTGATTCCCCATTGTGGCCCCGCCCTTCCCCCGGGGGTCATTATTTGAACAATTTAGAATCTACATTATACCAGGATGCTTCCACATAAGTTTCAGCTTTTCTGGCCCAGTGGTTCTTGAGAAGAAGATTTTCAAAGATTTTTCCTACATATTTCTATATAAAACTTTGATTCCCCATTGTGGCCCCGCCCTTCCCCCGGGGGTCATTATTTGAACAATTTAGAATCTACATTATACCAGGATGCTTCCACATAAGTTTCAGCTTTTCTGGCCCAGTGGTTCTTGAGAAGAAGATTTTCAAAGACTTTTCCTATATATTTCTATATAAAACTTTGATTCCTCATTGTGGCCCCGCCCTTCCCCCGGGGGTCATGATTTGAACAATTTAGAATCTACATTATACCAGGATGCTTCCACATAAGTTTCAGCTTTACTGGCCCAGTGGTTCTTGAGAAGAAGATTTTTTAATGACCCAACCCTATTTTTGTCTTTTCTTGATTATCTCCCCTTGCGAGGGGATATGTCCCTTCATTTTAACAATTTAAATTCCCCTTCACCCAAGGATGCTTTGTACCAAGTTTGGTCAAAATTGGCCCAGTGGTTCTTGAGAAGAAGTCGAAAATGTGAAAAGTTTACAGACAGACAGACAGACGGACAGACGGACGGACGGACAGACAGACAGACGGACGGACGACGGACAAAATGTGATCAGAAAAGCTCACTTGAGCCTTCGGCTCAGGTGAGCTAAAAATAAAAGTCCATGAAACTTAATCGAAAAAAAAACCCAAACAAAACACACTTGCAAATGAAAGTGAAACTGTACTACTGTTTAATTAGTTCGCGCCAAATACATTCGTAAACTGGTTCGGGTAACCAGGTTATTGTTTTATAAAAATGTATACTACACTGTAACTATGAGTGCAGAGTATCTTGTCATGTAGTTTCGACAAAAAACATCATTTTGGTTTCAAAAAAAGACATTTCATTTAAACATTAGTAAGCTGCACCTAGAAACATACCCACGCTTTGGCATGTTCAGTCTCACGCTGTATTGGTAAGCAAAGTTGTCCATGTGATCGAGGAAATTCGCGAATATGTGACTAGCGACTGTCACTCAGAAAGACATATAACTGCAATATCAACACTCAAAGATAGTAATGACAAAGCTAATGTACTTTCATAAGTAGCCTACGTACCCATGTTTGTTCTGTTTAACTGTTTATTCAAAACCAGAGTTAAATTGATGACAAAATGCTAGAAAAGCAAAATTTGAGGATTTTATGAGGTTATCCAACTTTTCCCAAAATGACGATAATTTTCCAATTTTAACGGCCCCGGCCCCAGTCCCAAAAAGTGGTGTTAGAGCCCTGTACATATGTGGCTGCATTTTGTTGGTGCACCACTTGGCCTAGTGACCCTTACTGCATTGCATCAATTTTTAGCAGTTGATGTATATGGCATCACCCCTTCCAAGGCCCTTAAGTTTTGATTGGTTTCTAGAAGATACATTGCATGCAGCTCCACCCGCAACAGAGCAGTGTTCCAGAAACAGTATCATATATATAGTGAAAACTTGCAAGCAACTAACATATTTACATGGTACATATGCTGTACTATATCCTATGATATAAATTGCAGTGAATTAATTGTAGCATGAATAGAGGCCTTTCAGTTAGTATGCTTGGTTAAAATACTCTTTCAACGATTTAGTGGTGTATGAAGTTTTCAGAAGTAATCCTCAGCAAGAGGCCCAGGGGCCACATCGCTCACCTCAGCAATGAGCTAGGAAAAAGCACATATCAGATCAGAACTGAAAGTTTACTGAGGGAAGGGGGGCTTGAATTTTAACCCCCCAGGGGGTCAGGATTTGAACAAACTAGAATCTACACTACCTAAGGAAGATTCCCTATAAATATCACTAAGCATGGCTTTGAAATACTTGAAAAGAAGATTTTAAAAGGTTTCCCTATATATTCCTATGTAAAACTTTTATCGGCCATTTGGCCCTAACCTACCCCCAGGGGTCTTCATTTAAACAAAGTTGAATTTACACTACCTGGGGATGATTCCACAGGGGTTTCATCTTTCCTGTCTCAAGGGTTCTTGAGAAGAAGACTTTTCCTATATATTCCTATGTAAAACTTTGATTGGCCATTTTGGCCCCACCCTACCCCCATGGGTCATGATTTGAACAAACTTGAATCTACGCTACCTGAGGATGATTCCACATGAGTTTCATCTTTCCTGGCCCGGTGGTTCCTGAGAAGAAGATTTTTAAAGATTTTTCCTACATATTCCTATGTAAAACTTTGATTGGCCATTTTGGCCCCACCCTACCCCCGGGGGTCATGATTTGAACAAATTTGAATCTACACTGCCTGAGAATGATTCCACATGAGTTTCATCTTTCCTGGTCCAGTGGTTCTTGAGAAGAAGATTTTTAAAGATTTTTCCTATATATTCCTATGTAAAATTTTGATTGGCTCAGTTAAGATGGGCTAGAGAGGATTTGGTAATTAAACATTTATTATAGTTTGGTTGGGATTTACCAAGTGACACCTGATATTTCAAGGAGATCTTTGGTAAAACAAGAGATGTTTGTAAAACACTTATGCCCCCCTCCCCCCAATTTGGAATTTTTCCAAGTCCAAGGGGCAAAACTCTGTCAAAATGGCACGATTGTACCCAAAACAGAACTTAACCTAGATATTCATCTGATAAATCTGTATACTAAATTTCATCTCAGCATGTGCAAAGGTTGTGAAGAAAATGAACGGAAACTGCAAATAATTTGAATTTTCCTAAGTCCAAGGGGCATAACTCTTTCAGAAATGGTGCAATCATACCTAAAACAGAACTTGATCTAGATATTAATGTGATATATCTGTATACTAAATTTAATTTCAGTATGTGCAATGGTTGCAAATGACTGGAATTTTTTTAAGTCCAAGGGGCATAAATCTGTGAAAAATTGTGCAATCGTACCCAAAACAGAACTTGACCTAGATATTCATCTGATAAATCTGTATACTAAATTTCATCTCAGTATGTGCAATGGTTGCAAAGAAAATGAACGGAAACTGCAAATATTTGGATTTTTTCTAAGTCCAAGGGGCATAACTCTGTCAAAAATGGCACGAACATACCCAAACCAAAACTTGACCTAGATATTCATGTGATATATCTGTATACTAAATTTCATCTAAGTATGTGCAACGGTTGTAAAGAAATTTTCAGATAAGTTCTATTTCTAAACAGTGCTTCTATCAGCTGCGTAATATCGGTCGGATACGTAAATATATTACAGAAAGCGCCTGCAAAACCTTAGTGTGCTCACTCGTCACTTCTAGATTGGATTATGGCAACCCATTGCTATACGGGTTGAGCTCCAGCTCCCTATCAAGACTACAAAGAATTCAAAACACCGTGGCGAGAATAATAACTAGGACCAAGAAACAAGATCACATCACCCCAGTTCTGATTTCTTTGCATTGGTTGCCAGTGGAATTCCGCATCCAGTATAAAATATTAATAACAGTATTTAAAGCACTACAAGGGATGTCACCGTCATATATAAAGGACCTCGTTAATTTGTATTTCCCTGCAAGATCATTGCGTTCAGAGAATTCCAGGTGTTTAGTTCAATCTCGTGCTCGAACCAAGTCATATGGAAATCGTCGTTTTGATGTTAGCGCCGCTGCACTCTGGAACAGTCTCCCATCAGTTATGAGACATGAACAAAATCTTAATAGTTTTAAAAAGTGTCTAAAGACTCATCTCTTTAAAATGGCTTTTTATCATTGACATATAAATATTATTGAAAATTTTATGTTCCTGTCTAAGCACACTTTATGGACTCTCTTTATTTTTTAATACTATTTTATGATTTGTGGCTATTTATCTCCATTTAATAATGTACATAGTTGTGCCTATTTTCATGATTTTTAGGGGCTAATTTTTAAATAATTTTTATAATTGTTTTCATTACTTTTATAAATTTGTGTCTAATTTCAGATTCTTAATTATTATGTTTTAATTATTGTAAATTTTTATCTTTGTTTTTAATGTTTAAGCGCTTTAGAGTAATTTTTAATTATATTTAGCACTATACAAATTTCATAATAATAATAATAATAAAATGAACAGAAACTGCAAATAATTGGAATTTTTCTAAGTCCAAGGTGCATAACTCTGTCAAAAATGGCACGATCGTACCCAAAACAGAACTTGACCTAGATATTCATGTGATATATCTGTATACCAAATTTCATTTCAGTATGTGCAACGGTTGCAAAGAAAATGAACGGAAACTAAGTGGACCGACAGACCGACGGACCGACAGACAGCAGCAAAGCAATATGCCCTCCCTTCTTCGAAGGGGGGCATAATTATTACACACCAAGGGCTTTTGGAGAAATTATTGGTGATAGCCTAAATTATTAAACAGTTATTACTTCTCTTATTCCTGTAAATTAATATCAGCACCAATTTTACACCGAAATTTACCAAGGTGTTGTGTATTGGTGACTTGGTTAATCTTGGCGAGTTGCACCGAAATATTTACCAAGGTGTAGCTCTGGTGATTGGTTAAAATATTAGGGATTTGTAATAAATATAAAGGTATTCATTGGTACATATAGTTTTAATAGGGAATTATTAGGTAAGTTAGGAGAATAAAAGAAGTTGGGTTGATTTATTTTCATAAATTTTCATGACTTTCATTTTCTTTAAACTGTAAATAAATAGTAGAACAGAATTGATTTTATTACTTAAAGAAAGGTAAAGGTTTAAGGTAGGACACAATAGATATGCCAAATATTTCCTCAAATTCAATTTTCCTGATACTTTGATATTTTGTTCTAGGATACAAAATCTCTCTTTATATATGATATGAAAGAAATTCAACTGCACATTTTTTGCCCACATAGTCTGAAATATGGCCTATCAGACCCCTGTAAGAAGATTGTGAAATCGGATATTCGACTTGAGAAGAGGCCTTATTTTAGAATTATCAATTGATCTATTGCAAAATTGTGTAATACTTTTAATAAAGATAACCTTTTTGTTGCTTTAAGGTAGTAAGTCAACTTGATCCTGGAAAATTTGAGTAAAATATTAAGTGAAAATAGAACATACGTAGCGTCGGAATTGTAAATTTACATGTAAATATCCGACAGTTTAAGTTTTCTTAAGAGAAAATGCATAATTCAATTTTTACAAAAAATCAACAGAATGATTCAAATGGGTCCTAGAATAAAATGTGTAAAAATAAAGAAAATTGAACCGATGGTTTCAGATATTTTTGCGATCAAAAAAATTTCAATGGCAAAAAACTAAAAGATTCAGTAGATGACGTCACAATATTTGACCTTTGACCTCTTGATATGACCTTGACCTTAAGAGTACATAAAGAATGGAGACTCCTTATATATGTGTTCAAATATCATTCCTCTACTATGTATGGAACAAAAGTTACACTGCATTTTATAACAGACTGTTACATGCTTGTTTATTACACTTAGTTAGGCCATTCCAAGTTTTTTTCTCTGTTTAGCGTCCACCCATATTTCAAAAACCTACCTACCTATTTGCAAAAAACACACAAGCAAAAACATAAAACACAGGCTTAAAAGTCATAAAAATGATGCCCATCAAATGATTTGATCTAACTAAACTGCTTTAATAGAAGAAATATCTATTCTTAAGCAAAAACAAGGGATTAAATGCATAAAATACACCCAATATAACTTACTGTACAGAATTATTCGGAGAAATTGACAAAATTCAAAAATTTCGACAAAATTAATCAATTTCAGGACTCCTGATGTTGTGTGTTTTTTCTTATATGGGGTGGCAAAAACCAAGGCGCACGCGGACGTTAAACATAGAAAAAACTTGGAATGGCCTTAGCATAAAAACATTCCAAACTGTAAGCCCCCAAGTGACCAATATATAGGATTTTTTGATTTTTTCACAAAATATGACGCAAACAACTTATTATTTTTCTTACAGGGATTGTTGTCAATATAGTAATGTTATTCTTCTTTTCTCGGGTACTTTTTAAGAAACGGGTTAAAGTAGAATCCAAGGGTGTTTTGTCCTACCTTAATACAAGGTTTACTTAATCAAATTGATACAATGGGATTTATATTTTGGGATTTACTAATGCAGTGGATTATAGTGTTACAGTGTGTGATTCAATATGGAGTATTAATAATTTTCACAATAAAAACCAACGTTCCCTATAAAAATTGTGTTGAAGAGTTCGCCTTGCGTCACCAGGTCCAGCACAATCTCTTGATTAAGCTATATAGCTTTAAAAAGCTATATAGCTTTATTAAGCTATTCAAAATAGCTTGATAAAGCTATTTATTTGCAATTTTTCACAAAAACGTTTTTTGAAAGAAATAAACAAAAAGTCGCAAGTATTTGACCATACATATATTTACTATGGACTATCAAAAATACAACCTAATTCATAGAAAGTTCTAACATTGCTGCTGTTGAATACCTTTAAGCAAAATATGAATTTCCATTGTTTAAGTAACTGTGTGTGCGGTGAGGCGTGGGTAAGTATGATTGCTTCTCATTGTGCTGAATTGTTACTAATCAATTATCCTGTTGGCCATAACTGACCTCCTTTATAATTTCATTCAAGAAATAACTGTGTGGTCACTCATCAATAGCCCCAAAACTTTTAAAACTTTGAGTACAAAGTCTCTCAAGGAGACGCAATTTGGTGAGTGATTTTTACATGCATTGTATTCAGAAGAGTACAAAGTTTAATATTTCCACTGCACCAAGGTGCGACTTTTTGCACATGTTGAAAAAATAACACATTGGAGAAAAAAGTCTGAGAAAATAGCTTAATCAAGCTATTCTGAATAGCTTAATAAAGCTATATAGCTAAATCAAGCAATATAGCTTAATCAAGAGATTGTGCCGGACCTGGTCACAATAAGATAAAAAGAGAAAATTAAAATCACTGCAGAGATGTGGCATTAACCACGTGTAATGCTCAGATAAGCTGTTCAAGGTTAACCTGGCATAAAAGAAGAATCTGAAAAAGAAAAGGGTAGGTTGTACAAGCACAAGCGCATATGTGTACAAGACCTGGAAAAACCTCCCACCTCTTTTTCTGGTACTTTACATAAAATCTCTGCAACGCCTTTCACATTGCCGTCCTCGGCCTCATCTATGATACTATCCATTTCTTTTTCTTAAAGAATCTGAAAAAAAAATGATGAAGTTATGTTGTAAATCACATACAGTGTTATTGTCTCAGTTCATTGTTGTAGCTTTTTAAATCAAAGCCTGCTTTCATATATTATGTTACATTCTTATATTTCAAAAGTATTTAAAGTCTTAATTTATTTGATTAACCTCCTCTGGAAACAATTAAATGTCTGGCTTTTATTACCTGCATATTTTAGTTTTCGTTCTTTCTCAGATCTATCAAAAAAGGCGCGCTTCAAAACCGGAAAATAACAATTCATACTAAAATCTGAATATTCCATTTCCGTGCATCCGGATTTTATCCCATGATGCACTGAAACCAAGATGTCTGCCCCCATGAAAATCTCGAAAAATATGTAGAAAGTTTTAAAAGTTATTGTTCTTGTTTCGCTCGCCTGTTCTAACATATGAATTGAGATGGAATCTCTATTTAACGTTAACAGGTGCGTTAATCACGACATAACATCTCTGTGAACAAAATGGAACCTGTTTTAAAACTGATAATATTGTAACAGGACACAAACTACTGAGAGACTTGTGATGTTCATAGCGTGGGCTTAAAAAGCTATACTAAATTTGTCATAGAGTTCTTAATGAACGACTTTCTTGTTACAGTCTGACAGTTACTTTTATACAACATTCTGTTGTATAGAATAAATCGATTAAGAATGGTCAGTGTAA